GAGCAGATTGGCAGAGAGGGCACTGTTGGCTGGCTGGGCCTGTTTGAAAGGAGCACCAGATGATTAATAATGAAGACACACGTTCATAGAAAATGAAGTACCCGCTATTAATTGCTTCTCGGGCAAACTATGTCGCTCAAAATCTTTTTTTTGTGTGTGTTTTTTTTATTTTGTGAGGACGACACCTCTAATTTTCATTTCCTTCCATACCCGTGCCCAGTGTTGGAAGCAGAAAAACGCAAACATTTCCCGAAAGGAGATTTGTGGTGGCCTTTAAATACGACCCGATGTCTGCGCGACACATCCAAATGTGTTACGCAGCACGCTCCAGTCTTTGTCCAAAGACATCTGAACGCGGGGAGATTGGATCGAAGTCAACAGGTGACCTGGAACTAACCGCTACTCTCATGATGAAGCGTTTAATCTCTTTGTCATGTAACAGCTGAAAATATTGCAAAAAAACACACAAAAAACCCCCAAACAAACTCCATCGCAGTCTCTGCCCTCCCCCCCCGTTTATCCACTGTCACATGAAGAGACAAAGACATACAAAAAAATCATTGAAAATCAAGAAAATGGTCTAGTTGCTAAGGAGTGAGGTTGTGTCCACGGGCAGGTATGGCCCACATGCCTCAGCCAGGGTCTCTGTGGATGGGGGAATATGGGGGGCTTTGTTTAGCCCAAAGACAGCTGGTTGAGGGCCATTTCATCCTCATGCTCGGAGCGTTCTGTCCAATTGGTTGGATGAGTGGAAGCAGCTTTAGGGCCAGAGATTACACTGCAGTGCTGAGGTGTCACTCTGAACACCGCAGGCAGAGGCAGGGGGGCAGAGGGAGAGACGAACGGCTGGAGAGGTGTGGACACACTCACCGACACGGGGAGGTGAGGGAGAAAGGAAAGAAAATGAAGGATAGGAAGCGTCTCTGGCGAATGGGAAAGCCTCTTAACGTCGCCTTCTTTGAAATTCTTGAAACACCTGCCACAAGTCTCCCACGCATACCTCCCCCCTCCCCTCTTCTCTCCTGTCCTCCACACCAACACCTTCCCTCCGCCTTCCTTCTCATTACTCTCTCCTCCTCAATCGCTGGGCCCTGTTGTCATATGAGCGTAGACACAATTATTCTGACACGGCTGCAGCTGTGGATTAAATGATCATTGGTGCATATTGTGCTGAGGATCCAGCCTGATATTCCAGAACCGCTCACTCAGGCGACCAGGAACCGGTGGCTCTGCTTTCTGACGGCATTTGAAGCAGTCGGCAGACAGACGCGGCCGCTGAAAGACTTCTGATTGGCATGCTGGGAAAACATGTCCTCGGTTGTAATTATTCTCCGGTGACATGTTCAAGAAGGAATTATGCTGGATATGCACTGCTTAGAACGGATCACACCAGCGCCAGTCAAAGTGATTTTTAATTAGAAAAACAAAGCCGTTTTGCTCTCGGATTCGGACACCTTGAGCTTGGAGGAAATGCCTGAACGTGGCGTGCAAAGGATCGATAATGGGCCTGTGTGTGAAGTTTGGTGCAGACTAATTCTGATAACAGTTTTGCTTGTTTATGGGTAGCGTCTGAGAAAAATGCAAATTGCCAAAGCCCTGCAAAACCTCCCTTTAATGCTTGAGATTTAAAAAATCTGTTACCTTGAAGGATATTATAGTTGTAAGAAACTCAATTCAAAGGAAGAAGAATGTTAAACAAAGGCATTTAAGCAAGATAAAAGATGCATTTTATCCTGAAAGTGAGAGTCAACTGCACTGACCAGTAATCTGTACTCTGGGCTTTTTACCCCTTCACATGTAACTAACTCAAGAGAAACTGCCCTCTCAGTAGTTTTGTTACTTCTCCAATTAATTTTTGTGACTGCTTCATTACATCAACCCATGAAAGAAATGACCACCAGCACCCTGATTAGAAGCAGGGAATTAAGCCAGTGACATCATAATGACTTGACAGTAATATTTTATTGGCTTAATGATTCTTGAGAAGTAAATGATGATGATTTTAATGGTAAGTTTAATTGTAATTGTTTGGGAAATGCCACTTTAGGGTCTCCCATGTTGCCCTCACTTTTCCGAGGGAATGGCTAAAGGTGATGTGTGCTGACAGTATGATAGTACGGATCCGGAGACAGCTGGTCAGTTCCTGCAGCTGTGTGAACAACGCAGATTCTTCTTGTCATGCTAGTATATGGTCTATTTTATAAGCTGGAGTGACTGACAAATGACTGCCCTCCTTACTGCTGTGTGCGCCCATGTGTTCTTTGGTTTTCTGTTTGTGGAAAAACTTGTAATTCCCCCTCCCATGTGTCCCGGTGCTGTGTGCTCCGATCATTCTGCCGTCTCTGCTAAACAGATTTCTTCTTGGTTTGAATTCCACATGCTACGTCTCGCTCATTTGACTCGTCTGTTTAGGTTTGTTTTGGCTGTAAGATGATCATCCTCAATTTCTAAGCCTGTCAGACGTTTTTTTCTGGTTATCTTTTGGTCACAAAGCCATAGCAGCAACAGCGGCCTTTGAACCTCCACAACCTGAGATGTAAAAGTACCATTTGAGACTTTATTAACTATATCTCCATGTTTGTCTCTGGTTGGTCATCATGTCAATTTGTCTTACAATTTGAAATGTACACTGATTAACTTGAGATCTGCATGCTGTACTTTGGCCGTAATGGGTTCTAATGGGACTGTTTTGTTTCACATATCTTACCTCAGGGTCCTCTAAGGTGTGGTTGAGAGTTCAATGCAGGGGACGGTTTAAAAATGTTTCATTTTGTTTTCTCCCTAACTTCCACCAGCAAAATGAAAAAGGTCTAACAACAATCTGGTGTACTGGAACTTTCAAATCAATGTGTGTACAACCAGATACGTTTGTGAAGTGATATCGCAATCGAGTTCCCATCAGAATAAACTGTTTACAGTGATATCTTCATTCACTTGTCCACAAACACCTGAAAATATTCACTTCAGACCTGTTTTTATTTAGCATTGACTACCTTATATGAGCTTGCTGTCTTTCTAAACCAATATAGGAAATGTTTTACATGTTTCACATCAGCAGAGCAGCTTTTATTGTAAGGTTTTAGCTTAGTTCTGCAGGGTTGTAGATTAAAACGGTTCAAATAGAGCAAAAGTCTTTTCACTAAATGTCAGGTCCATGTGAATGTCTACCACTGTGTGACCTAAGGGAAACACTTGTGGAAAAAAAAGGAAATATGATCAGTTGTTGCAGTTTTACTGTATCTCTTTTATCTGTAATAATACAGATTTCTAAAGGTTTCCCATGCACACACACATACATGCACAAAGAATGAATTCAACGAAATAGCAAAATGGCTGCAATATAAACTGAAACAATTCAAGTCTACTAGGTTTTCAACTCAGTCTGTGAACAAGGGCAGTTACACATGTGGCAAACGGTTGCGCCTTTATTGCCACTCGTTCCTAAAAGTAAGAGATTAATTAAAGATTAATCTTAGAAATAATATGAGGTGAGCCTGAGGTTTGGTCAAGATAAAGATAGATAAAGATTATCTACAAAAATGAATCCCTGAATACCCAATCTGGATACCTCAGCTGTGATATATAGATTAATAGTAGCGTCCTGTCATTAATCATTACATCTATCAGCCACTTAGCTGATATATAACAGGACAAACTGTATATCTGGAGAAATTGAAATAACTCTTTTAGTGCTGGAATGAGTATGGCCTAAATCAGTAGGCCTTTTTCGATATATATAGATGAAAAAGAAGAATTTGAACAGCAGTTCACAGTTGAGTTGAATCCCGATTAGAGCTCGCTAACCTCGCAGCTCACTACAGTAAAACCGTTGCTAAAGCGCCTCAGATTGAGAAGCAGTAATGTGGTGGCTTCTTCACAAAATTGTTTTGAAGATTCTGGCCAACCTTCAGAGAGGATCGACGACACAGACAAACCGTTTTAAGTAATGCAGCATGTGAAGATTAAATTCTGTCTGCGAGCAAAGCATCCGTGTGGAATCCCATTCTAAAGCCTGCTGTGTAAAGAGGACACACACAAACCTTACAAAGAGATCCAACACGGAGCATTAGTCAGCAACTGGATAAATAGACAAGAAAAAGGGAGAGACATGCCACTTCAGTTCAAGCAGAATTTGGACAAAACACTTGTGCAGAAGGCCGCCTTGTTGTCACTGATGCTGGAGTGACAAACACACATCAACACCAGAAAACACGTCAAAGTAGACAGATGGCGTGATTTAACAGAGATTAGGCTTGTTTGTTTGGTCTTTTAGTGCAGCTCTGGGTTTCTACTGTTTATTTGAAACACGTCGTATTGCCAAATGTGTGGCTGGCAAGCGGCAAGGGGAGAAGAGGTAGACTCTGCCTTCACACTTGTTTCTGTCAGTGTTTTCTGTTCCTCGGCCTGCTTGCATGTTCAGCTTTACTCTGACTCATCAGAGCTCCTCGTTATGTTTGTTTGTTTGTTGTTGGAAGGGTTCAAACGCCGGAAATTAATATTCATCCGTACCGAGCCACGGTCATGTGACGAACAGACGAGGATAGGATTTTTACAAAATTGCCTTTTTTGATTTGTACTTAGACGCTGTTACTAAGCAGAAACCCTGGAAATCAATACCGGTGAGCAGGTGTGCTGTTGATTGCTATGTAGCCGTGACACACAAAGCTCAGTAATCCCTCAAACAAGCCAGAGCAGAAGTGAATGCCACGGGCATAATGTGTGTTCACTTCACTGCTCCTGTGTTGGATGGGGATTCACGCTGTCCCTCTTTTCAGATGGCTGCTTTAACTCGGCCCCTCTGCACCACCAATCCTCTCCTTTTCTGCTTCCGCCGCTTTGTTAACCTCCTTAATGTCTCGGAAAGGTTAAATCATCCTGTAATTAAACCCCCCTCTCTGTGCCCGCAGATCTCGGTGAGAGCGCGGCGCTTCCCCGCCTGGATGAGTGTAAGGGTGTGAGTGTGTGCGTGTGTGAGAGCAAGTGAGCGCCCGCGCTCCCACATGGCCTCCATGCAGGACGGGCTGAACTTCACGACTCCTCCTTACGGCAAGGTCCTGCTGCTGGGCGCTATCGCCGCTGCCTCAGCCTTCGTTGTCACAATCCTCATCGTGGTCCTGTGCGTGGGCTGCCAGAGGTGAGAGAACACACACGTGTGACCCATCAAACACATGCACACGCACAGTGGTGGAGGAAGATATTTCACTAAAATGCAAATATCAGTCGAGCTATTTAAATTCTTTTCTTTACAAGTAAAATGCATATGATTTCCTTTCAGCGACAGCAGGGCCTCTGGAATCACCTTAGGAAATATTCAAACCACTCCAAAGTTGCATAAACGGCTTTCGTACTTTTGTGGGAGGTCACGTGGAGACACATTTCATTTTGCATAATTTCCACTTGCTGTATTTAAATCTAAGCGCCAGGCACTTAGATTAATCCTCAGGGTCAAACATTTGGGTGTGAACTAAACTTAAATCTATAAGAATCTCTAAGAAAATACATACAAGACGATGATTGAGATCATAAGATGCTGGTTTTATTTTTAGAACAAAAGGCACCCTTCATGATGTTTCCTATCAATCAAGAGAAAAATGATTTTTCTTGTGTTATTGTTAAGAATATTAACAGTCATTTTAACCAAATTCTTGGGACTGAAACAAGGAATTGATAATATAAAGAATAGCAATTGGAATTGAAAATATTCCAAATATTTTTTTCGTGAACTGGAACAAAATAAATAAAACCTACATGAATCTGGAGACTAAATTTACTGTGAAATTTACTTAGTTACTCTCAAACGCTGGTCGTTGCATTGGGCAAATACATCGAAACCTCTTTTCCTCACATGCACAGTCATGGGATGACTCAGCCACACATGGACGGTGACTCAGACAGACTCTGCACACACTCAAAAATGCATTAGTATTCAATCAAAAGTGACAGCGGTTGTGTTTCTCGCAGGAAGGGGAAGACACACAATGTCCCCAGCGAGGGTGGAAAACACCGTCTTATGGACATGGTAGGTGTGAGTCAACACGCTGTACGATATTGTGTTTGCATCGAAGCAGAGCTAGCCGCACAACTCACCGGGGAACAATATCATATTGTGGACACCTCCTCAGTCTTAATTACTGCTTAACTGGTCCTGTGTGTGTGTGTGTGTCTGTGTGTTGACAGGGTATTCTCAGGCAGTCCAAGCTGCGCTCCATCAGTAAATCAGACACTGAGATGAATAAGATGAACTGCAATGGAAAAAGTGAGTGAATCTTTCACATGCAAATCCTACAAAAGGCGTCTCCCTGTCATCTGTTCAGGAGCTGCAACGCCTGGTGCTCTTTTATTTTTTATTTTTTACCCGCATGGCTACGTAATCTCCAAAGCGGGAGAGGTCGGAAACTTTGCTCAGATGCATCTCGGGCGTGTACAGTTTTGTTTTGTCTTAAAGCGTAACGATCAACGGAGAGGGGGGTTGAAGGTTTTCGTATATAAACCTTTCCTGCGCATCTGAACTGACCGTGAATTCACTCTGAGCCCTCTTGACATGTCAGAGGAGAAATTCCCCCTAAAACAGAATTCACATCGCATTTACAATTGATTTATTTTTCTCCAGAAGCGGGACTTTCTGTCCTGGTTTGTGAACATGCATCTCTCTCTTTCAAAGACACAAATCCGAGAGCCAAGACAAATCCTGGAGCGCCGTTTGCCGACTGTCAACGGGGAACTGCTTTAGTGGGCACTGTGACAGTAGCCCGGGAGGTTTAGCGGAGCCGCAAACATATGTCCTGCCTCATACTTGTCCTGCTTCCACTGCCGTGGTATGAAGCCAGTTTGGACGCATGCTCTCACGTGTCCACGGCAGTTCCCAGTTTTACTCTCAGATTTTCTTTTCCGCAACACGTTAGAGATGGATCCATGTTCACAAACGATTGTGCGATCCTCTGCTGGGGAGAAGGTAAAAGGATGTGAGTTCCGTTTTTTGCGTCGGACGTGCGGACAGTGACGGTGACGTCTTGGCCAGCGTGGACCTTCTGCCGCCGTCCAGCCACCGGTCTAACTCTGACCTTCGTTCTCAAGGCAGGCAGCTTCCCCAGATCCCCTCTGGGACTGGAGAGGAAGGCGAGCACACTTACTCGGAAGTGGGCCAACGCTCCTCTGCTGCGCGTACTGACGATGCCCTCTACGCCATGGTAGGCAGGGCCGGGCAGACGGACACTCCGGCCCCCCCGGCCGTCCCCGCAAACACGCCGGCGCCGCCCGACCCGGACGGGGACGTGGAGGGAGGGCTGCCCGAGGCCGAGGCCCAGGTCATGTCGGCCCCCCATCCTCCGGAGACGGCGGAGTACGCCTGCGTCAGGAAGCTGAGGAAGGCCGACAAGGCGCCTCAGAAGAGGGACAGCGGGACGGACATGGTGGAGCCGCCGGCGCCGCCCCCCCGCCACGCCCCGCCCTCACACCCCGCGCCTCCCCCGCCTCACCCCCACAGCACAAAGTTGCCCCGCAGAAACGTCGAGGCCTTCAACGTCCCATCATTCCCAAAGGTTGGTAAAAGCTAAATGTTTTGGCAGTTCCCCTCAGCCACACGTCCTCAGATTCCTTTGCTGTCGTTTGATGTTCACTCACCCAGAATCCAAGCAGGGATGTCCAGATCCATTCCTCTAAGAATGCTATGTGTTGAAGCAGAAATAAATCTAAAACCTGCAGGATAGCGACCGTCCGAGGCCGGATTTGTAGATCCCTGGCAAAGAGTTTAGAAAGGCACACAACTTTGCATATAACAGTCCCGGAGTTCACAATGCAGGTCAGAGTAAAGTCCAGACCTTCGAGTCCAAAAAGCAAGTCTGTTTCAGACGACTGTCAAACAGTTTTTTCCACTTGATATAAATATGAATTCATACATATTTATATATATATATTAAAACATAAATATGTTGGAAATGGACGGTGCAGTAGATGATAAGCAGGTGTGTGAGCTGATTCAGAGAGCTCTTTGCTTGGCATAGCAGAAATCTGGGCACGAGGGAGTCACATGTAAACACGTCCAACTTTTTTTTTTAAAAGACCTCGTTCGCTCTTCAGCGCAGATTAGGAAAAGGTTCTCTGGCTGCCAATGGTCGTGCCAAATGCTAAACTAACTCTGGACCGTGTGTGTCCCTTGGACGCTTGAAACATGAGTGGGAATCATTTTCCAAATGACAAAACTATTCTTTTACAAAAGATATGCAAAGCGGAGTTTCTCTGTGCGTTTCCTTTTGAGGATGTTGTGTGCTTAATTTACAGAACAAGGGATAAAGGCAGGGGGGGTCTCCCTCATAGTTACACTTACGAGACAAAAGACATAATGCCGTCAGTGCTGAGCAGAACGTGGCAAAAATATGAAACACTGGGGGAGAAAAAGAGGGCTGAAAACTCCCTGAATGCAATGGACATATTTCCTTTGCAATGAGCCTCGACAGCCGCACCTTAACGGCCTGTTTTACGATCTGGAAGACGTGAGAAAGTGATGATTGGAGGGGGAGAGGGAGTTAACCGCTTAGTGGGGTTTTTAGTGGTTCTCCAGAGGTTCTGAGCGGAGTGTCGAGTGAACTCACACAAAGCAGGGCGAGACTGAGTGGGCCTGCAGATGCACAGCGAGTGGACGGCAGGTATGAAAAGGCATCAGGTTTTTTCTTGTTTTCTTTTTCTTTTTCTTTAGCGATAACTATTTAATTGCATTGTTCCTGGTCGGCTACCCGTATGACCCATTCAGTTTTAACAGTGGAGCGGTGGGCAGTGTCTCTGTGAGGTTTCCCGTTGGTGCTGCAGAGCTTCTGACCGGCTGTAATCCAGCCGGCGTTGCAGTTTCTTCCTCACTTGACCGGCTCGTGCACGGCGGCGAGCCCGTTGGTGTGGGGGGTGCGTCTCTGCTCTCAGCGGTGTCACCTCCTCCATATGTTGGCGGCAGACCGCCTGTCTCTGCCGTCCGGCCCTCCAGCCGGAGGCCATTTGCTCCCCCTGCGTGAGGTCAGCGGGGTCAGGGTGTCCGCCGTGACCCCGCCAACGGTTCGCAGTCTTACACGTGTAAGCGGTTTGCTCGCGGGGGTCTGTTCACTGCCGATTTTCAGCCGGATGATGCAACACGGTGAAATGGAGTCATCCACAATAAATGCACCTGCAGACTCAAAGGCTCCCTCTTTTCAGGGAGACTCTATCCAGCGGGGTATGAAATCCATCCTGCATGTTTCAGACGTGCCAAGAATGGAGCGACCTGCTCGAAGGTGGTCCACAGTCGTTTTATGACTTTATTTCTTAAGGATGGAGTTCACATGTTCACAGACGGGCTCTTTTGTCAGCATGCATGAGCCTTTCATCAGCTCTGTCCCAAATGTGATTTGTTGCTCCGCTGATAGGAAGTGATGTTCATGGGCAACGGGGAGCAGTACATCTGGAAGCCTCCAGAGGACGAGGACGTGCTCATGCTCCAAAACAAAGCCCTGGGGGCGCTAGGTGCTCACACCATGGAGAACATCCAGCCGTCTGCAGCTGCGGTGAGTGGGAAGCCTGTGCATGTGCACGGAACTGTTTTCTTACTGTGTTCCACCTCCATCCATATACTCTGTTTGCGTTACTTTTCTCTTCACCAAAGCATTGAAACTGATCCTCTGAAATCCCAGTGGGTCGCCCAATTCAAGTTGATCATCTTTCCCCTTCAGAGTAGATGAAAAATTATTGAAGAGCACACGTGTAACATGCGTCATCTTCTAAATTATTACTAGTTCTTATACTAGTTTGTGACCAATCCACTTGCTCTACATTATTTTCCAAAATTATTACCATTTCTTGACTTTCTGCCTTCTTTTTTATAATTGTGGTAAAAAAAAAAAGTTATCATCTCAATCAGTGCAGTAAACACACCTCAGACTAATTCAGGTAACAGTGTAAGATTCAAACCTGATGCGATTTTTTTCACGCTGAATAAATTTGAACCGTACTTATCGTTTATTGTCTTCTCATTATATTAATGAGATTAAACTTCTGATTAACGGCTCTCAATCATTTTTGCCTCCTTTTTATTCTTAAGTCATGCAGGATCAAATTAATATTTTTATTCCAGAGTTTTAAGACAAAAACATTCTAATCGTTTTTGTTCGCTTTAAACTGTTGGGAAAAAACATTTTTCCTACATATTGTTGTGCAATGTACTTGCTGTTAGATAATCACATAAGACAGGTTCGAGCTGGAATCAGACAGAATAATCTAAAGTGTTTCAGTGTTTCGCAGTCATTTTATCACATCAAAGAGAAAAAAATTCTGGATCAAGGTTTTATCTGTTGTTATTTGAGCATAAATCTGCTGACATTGTGAATTTTACCGTCACAGATTTAAACACAGGCTGCTGTTTGTGGTTTCTGAACCTCTAAATGTTTGCTGTGCCCGCAGGTGGCTGAAATGTACTCTAAAGTGTGCAAGCCTGGAAAAAAGAAGAGAGCCGTGCCGGGGTCTCCCCCAGCCAACCTTGGCTTCCGGACCTTGGGTCGAGGTGACCGAGACCGGGACGGGGGGTTCAGTGTGGTGGTCAAACCCCAGACGTGGGCCCCGCAGGAGGGCAAGGCGATGGGCGGGCCCCTGCTGGATGACCACTGCTACGAGTCCATCGGGACGGAGGAGTGCGACCCGGCCTACGAGAACGTGGAGAGCGGCGGCGCCTGGAAGCGGGAGAGGCCCCCCAACACCTGCGCCACCCTGCGGCCCCGCAGGAAGAAAGCCCAGCAGCCCCTGCAGCAGCAGCACCCCCCGCCGCCGCCGCCCACGCAGCAGACCCCCAAGCTGCAGCACCTGCCCACCAAAGCCCTGCTGCTGCCCGGGGAGAACCTGTACGAGAGCATCGGGGACCTGAAGCAGGGCTCCGCCACCTCCAGCACCACCACCATCTTCACCTTCAACGACGGCATGGAGATGTACGTAACGGGGCTCTGAGGTGGCGGCTGCACTGTGACCCCCCCCCTCCCAACCCCCCCAACCCCCCCAACCCTCCAACCCTTTCCTTCCGACATAAGGAGCAGAGCTTACAGCGCGAGGAGTGACGGCTGGGCCCCCTGTCATGCTCACCCACACATACTGTTTACATTCAAGTCATAACATCAAGCCTTTCACAGGCTCCAGAGGCCTTGGGGTAGTAAAGTTGATTTGTTATGACCTGGGCTGAATACAAAGTCCTTACAAGGAATCCAAAGGTAATGAATAATAAATGAGCACAAGACCGTTGCAGAGCGATCTGTAGGTAACAGTAGCACTTCTGTTTTACGGATTCATCTGTGCAAAAGCACAATAAAGTGAAAGCCTAAATTCTTCCTCGATATCTTGCGGGTAAAAATAGCTCTATGTATCCGGTCCGAGCAGGGCCTCTAATTTGAGGGGGAAAAGGCACAGGCTGAAAATTTTGGTAGCACTTAAGTCTTTAGCGAGCAGGCCTTCCCCGTGTTCGGCGAGACGCCATTCAGGACCGAATTTGAACAACACAAAGGAAAGAATTACTTAATCAAAAAATACTTGAAAGCTCAGGGACCAAGAGAAACAATTATGAGAGTGTTATAAGAGAAGTTGCACACATTTTGCATTCCTCCTAAAAGCTTCGACTGATTTCGACCATTTTTCCGCATTACAAAGCCGATCAGATTCTTCCCTCTGTCACGCTGACTTCACCTCCACACGGACTGAACACTGTCTCCACTACTGCCGTCTGTAAATGAAGTGTTTTACTTTGTTGATCCTGTTTCTGCACTTTGCCTGCTACAAGTTGCATGCTTAAAAAAGTTGGGGGGGGGGGGACAGACTAAAAAAAAAAACTAAAAAAAATCAAGCACTGTCATGTGGTACCTCTATATGAATGTTTTTTCATTTCTTTTGTCGTTGGCTGTTTTTTTTGTTTTGGTTTTAGTGTGTTGCTTTATTTCTCTGTAGAGCTCAAAGCCAGTTTAGATTAAGGATGTCTCTGGCTCGGTGGGACTCCGTGCAGCTGAGAGGAGAATTCATATTCTCTCCTGTGCCTGCGACACGCACACAAACAGACACACACACACACAGACACTATGAAACAAAGAGAGAACTGCTGGAGTCCTAAAGGTGGAGACAGTCCACTCCCCCACCCACCCCTCCACCGCCTCGTCTGCTCAGTCCTCACTCATATCTGTGGATTGTTCATCTGCATAGTCCCCGCCTTGTGCTCATACCAATCTGCTTGGGTTTCACCATAGTGCAGCGTCGAAAGCTACAGTAGAACTGATGTGTGTTAGCAAAAAGCCATCATCACCCCCATCGCCAGCCACTCTCTGTTATCAGTGTTAAAAAAAATAATCGCAGAAATGACAGAAATTGCGAAGACAGCGGTTTTCAGAGCATCGCCCTGAGGAAAAAACAGACCAATTACATCCAAATCCTGGACAATAATGACAACTTCACACAACCAAATAT